ATCTATCTATCTATCTATCTATCTATCTATCTCTATCTCTATCTCTATCTCTATCTCTATCTCTATCTATCTATCTATCTATTGCACCCCCTACACAATTAATTCTTAAATGAAGACCAAGAGTGAAAAGTTGAGCCTTAAAATTGCTCAGCAACCATTTCCATTTGGAGAGCAGCAGGTTCCTGGTCCCAATTTTGCCCAGTAAATTGAAAAGTACTGTATATCTCACTAATTAGGTCTAATATGTAATATCAACATACATAAATGGAAAGCATAAGTTTGTTCCTTTTTTCTGGAGATGAACTATCATCTATCTTCATCATCATCATCTATCCATCATTAATATTATATATCCAGTGAATTATATATCTAGTGAATGTTTGTTCTTTGCTGTCTGGTAAACTCACCAGAATCCATCAGTGGAAGGCAGAGGTCCAGCAAAAATAATTGTATCCAGGGTTTTCCTGAACCAGATGACATGCTTTAACTTAGGTCCTGTCTAGTTTGGCATGGCTCACAATTCCTATTTTGGATAGTGGATCACAACTGCCTGCTATCAGAGTGTTTTGTATCCAGAGTTTCTTTCCAGCAGTTCTTTCACAGCCTAGCCATTGGCCCTGATGAAAAAACTTGTCTGTCTGAGCTATACCATTTCAAATTGCAATTGTCTGAGCTGCACCATTTCATATCCTCTTAAACAACTCCCCACCCAGGAGTTGCCAATGAAAGGCTCCAAACACTTCAAAATATAGAATTATACCTCGCATACTCAGTGATATTAGAAGCACAATTTCATTTGAAGAAAAACCTTTATTGCAGATAACGACCAGTTCATAAAAACAACTTACATGCATACCAATCAATCAAACACTCTGCACTTCTTACATACTGCACGACAAAATTTGGCTTTCCTTAAGGAAATAGAATCATTTGAATTTGAAAGGAAAGGTTTTTCAATAAGAGACAAACGTATTTAATTCGGTGTGGGGGTTAACAATTCCCAGTAAAAATCAGTATAAAATGGACCATACAATAATTTCACTGACTTTTTCATCACATGGGCAGAGTTTGGATTTAAGCGAATTGTCTCCATATCTCCTTCTAAAACCATCAATGGAAGGATATGTCAAGGTTAGGGCCTTCCTTAACTTGGGAACACTAATTTGTTTCGGGTATTTGGCTGGACTATACAGAGTACAGAGGTATACTTAAAAATACTACTTTGAAGACAAGATCGTTGTATTTTAATATCAGTATTCTTAAATCACTGCTTGATTGTCTTCTCTAGGTATTCTTGCCTTAGCATCTGCTCTTAGGGAAAACCCGCAAAGTTCAAGTTTTTGTTATGTAATGGTCCATGTTTCCTTCCTCTCTGCCCAAGTGAGTTATCTAAGTTAGACAACAACTAGTTCTTGACAGTGAAAAGTAAAGCTGGAGGGCCGCTATGAGTTCATGATGGCTTCCTGCAATGGATGAGGGGGCAGGAGTCATTCCCCATTTGACTGTCAACTGAAATGGCATAGGGTTTCCTACTTGATCAGGGGGTTGGACTAGAAGACCTCCAAGGTCCCTTCTATCTCTGTTATTCTGTGAAGCTGTTACTCTCCCCTATGTTTAATTAACAATGTTTCTGGGCTGGCATTGCCAGGCCCCTTTGCCACTGCCTCTTTGACCATCTAAGCTGCCATGTTTAGAATAGTTGAATAGGGATGCCTGAATCTAGAAGTGGATGGTTCCCGTTTGTGGCAGCTATGACAGACACCAGATTACTCTCTGCTGCTTAAGATTTCCAAAACTTTTAGAATAGAGTAACAGAGTTGGAAGGGACCTTGGAGGTCTTCTAGTCCAACCCCCTGCTTAGGCAGGAAATCCTATACCATTTCAGACAAACTGTTTGTCCAATCTCTTCTTAAAAACTTCCAGTGTTGGAGCATTCACAACTTCTGGAGGCACGTTGTTTTACTTATTAATTGTTCTAACTATCAGAAAATTTCTCCTTAGCTCTAGGTTATTTCTCTCCTTGATTAGTTTCCACCCATTGCTTCTTGTCCTGCCCTCAGGTCCTTTGGAGAATAGCTTGACTCCCTCTTCTTTGTGGAAGCCCCTGAGATTTCGGAACACTGCTATCATGTCACCCCAGTCCTTCTTTTCATTAAACTAGACATACCCAATTCCAGCAATTTTAGTGACAGTTTATACAAGGCCATGACATCAGAATCTCAAAAGATTGCATGCATTCCTGGTTCTAAAAAGTGTGGTTTAAATCAACCTGTCAGACCTCATGGACCACTAAATTCATAATTTTAAATCCTGCGGACCACTAATATGATTTATTTTAAAAAAAAGATAAAATAGTATTTAGTGCAATATAAAAAAATGCAAATAACTTTTCTGCAGACTACCAAAATTTTCTCACGGACCACCAGTGGTCTATGGACCACTGGTTGGTGACCGCTGGTTTAAATCATCTAAATTAATAGCATTATGTCCAGTGGTGGGATTCAAAATTTTTTATTACCGGTTCTGTGGGCGTGGCTTGGTGGGCGTGGCAAGGGAAGGATACTGTAAAATCTGCAGTCAGAGGTGGTATTTGCCGGTTCTCTGAACTACTCAAAATTTCCGCTACTGGTTCTCCAGAACTGGTCAGAACCTGCTGAATATCAGTTCTGATTATGTCTTAAGAGCCTTTCCATGAACAAAAGAATGAGAGGGTAACAGGTAATATATTGGCTTTTTTTTTTTTTGCAAAGGTAGTTTGCATTAATTGATTGTTTCCACTGTGTGCAACAGATAGCAACAGACCAGTTCCTTTCAATTAAAGTGTTTTCTCCCCAATGAGGATAATGAGTCACTAAGATTGAGTTGTATGGATTATTAGCTTGACTTGGAAGAAAGCAGGGTTTTTTTCCCTCTGAACTTAAGCCATTCATTTATGCTGCAGCCTCTCACATTCTGTATCCCCTTTGTGAACATAAACAGAAGCAGATGAGGCCCATTTAGTAAGCATCTGGACCTACCTTTGCATTGCAGAAGAAATACAAAATGCAAAAAAAAAAAACACCAAAAAAAACAACAACACCCCACCCTCACTTATGCAAACAACAGCATGTGTTTGAAAACTCATAAAGAAAGAAACACAAAAGAGAAACAACAATAACAAAGTTTCTATCTTAGTCACAAATTATAACTTGATGCTCTCCTGCAGACTCAAGGTTAAATTAACCTGGTTCCAGGTCAGACTGTACAAATCTGTTGCGATACATAGGATTTCAGGATTTTAACCCAAAAGCTTCCAGGGAGTGCTTTTCAAAAAACACTTCCAATCAAAATAACTCCCAGGTTTCCTACGTTGGTATTAAGGTATGTGTAAGAAGGTTTTCAAGTAAAAGGCTGGGCTCCCTGATAAAATTCTGCAAAATAAATGGATTGACTGTCCATAAACCTTAATGCTCAAGATAGCCTGAGTCATTTGCTTTGTTTCCTTCCAAGGAGAAGAAATTCTATTCTTATCAGGACAACTCCTGTCCGGGAAAGCTATTACAAGCAGCTGAATGGGAGAGCCATTCTCTCATTTCCTTTAGAAGGTTCATCAAAGGTACAGCTGTACCTCTACTAAAGATGCAGAAACTGTACATTCTTTGCAGATGTTCAACTAATAATATACAACTCACAAGTGGAGGGAGAGAGAGGCTTTAGGATTTGAAATACATCTGTAAAAAATCTCATCTGGGCCCCAGATGTGTGGTTACCTGGTTTGGTGAAGGATAAAACTTTCTGGGCTTGCTCAAACAAAGATTATTATGAATGCCCCATGGAGCTGACATTTTCGATGGTCTTCGAAATGCACTCCTGGTTCTTTCTTTCTTTGCAGTTCAGAGTGGGCTACAGTTGAAGGGCCTCTCGCTTGTTTACAGAAGAAGGTTAATCTGGCTTTCACATCAAAAAAGCAACACTTGGGCAACTTCCAATAGTCAAAGGTTGTATGGGTACCATGCCTGGTAAAGCTGGAGTGGTTGAGCAGAAACGAGAACAGGGGCGGGGGGGGAGAGAAAAAATCATCTGCAGAGTTGGAAGAAAACGTAGCTCTTTTGGCTGAATTTTCCTATCCCCACTGAAGCCATTATCCGCCTTGCAAACAGGCAATCTGGGACCAATCAAGGCATTTCCCATCCTTTCAGCTCGTTTCACCAGAAGAGGCTGGTGTGCAGACTGCCTTAAATTCCACTGGAAATATTTCAAAACTGCCCTTTGATTGGAGACGAGCTTCTTTCATTTGACCCCAGTTTTGGACACTGCAAGCAGTTTGGAGGTCATGGGCAAAGGAAGCAAAAGAGTTTGCAGGTGCTTAATTAGATCCAGCATGCAATACTTCCCATCCAATTTTTTTCCCATTGCCAAATCTTTCATGGCAAAAGGCCATGCAGGTAAATCTGCAGTGTGCTTACCTCTTAACACTGAATAATTATAAACAGTTTATCATCACGACCTGGATTAAGGCTTCTTAAAGCAAGGGAATAATAGATTCGAAACAAGCTGGTGAGTGAAACTCTCTCACAGTCAGTTTGGTTTCAGTGGGAATAAAAGCCACACCAATCCACAACCCACTGAGCATTAGGTTTTAGATTTAACCAGACTGGTAACACTTCCTAGAACAAATTACATCCTAGAACGAATGTATCTTTTCTTTATATATACTGAGAATATTTACACCAAGGCAAATTCCACCACCACTAGATGGACTCGCAACTGGCTGGCAAACCGTACACAACGAGTAGTCCTTAATGGGTCTAAGTCTACATGGAGGGAAGTAAGCAGTGGGGTGCCACAAGGTTCAGTCTTAGGCCCAATACTCTTCAATATCTTTATTAACGCCTTGGATGAGGGAACAGAAGGGGAACTTACCAAATTTGCAGATGATACTAAGCTGGCAGGAATAGCTAACACCCAAGAAGATAGGCTCAAGATCCAGATGGATCTTGACAGACTAGAACACTGGGCCGTATCTAACAAAATGAAATTCAATGTAGAGAAAAGTAAAGTCCTACACTTAGGCAAGAAAAACCAAAAGTACACATATAGACTGGGTGAAACCAGACTCAATAGCAGTAACTGTGACAAAGATCTTGGAGTCTTAGTGGACAACCAGCTAAATATGAGCCAGCAGTGTGCAGCAGCAGCCAAAAAAGCTAATGCAGTCCTAAGTTGTATTAACAGAGGGATACAATCAAGATCAAGGGAAGTACTAATACCACTCTATAAAGCTTTAGTAAGACCACCCCTAGAGTACTGCATCCAGTTTTGCTCAGCACATTATAAAAAAGATGTTGAGACTCTAGAAAAAGTACAGAGAAGAGCAACCAGGATGATTAGGGGACTGGAGACTAAAACATACAATGAACGGTTGCAGGAACTGGGCTTGGCTAATCCAGTAAAGAGAAGGACCAGGGGAGACATGATAACAGCCAATAAAGTATTCT